CAGGCTGTGGCATGACAACAAAACTTTATATATAGTGTTAAACACTGTTTTTATCAAGGTTTATTTATGGAGTGCTATTAAATTGATTTCTTCTAGCATATACAGGTACCATATGCTTAGCACCTTGCTAGCTTCTTTCTATATAGTTAAGACACTAAATGTGGTACCATGACGGTTATTTCAGACCCTAAATTTGATCAGGATGTTCATTCAAGCAGAACCCTTATGACATGCCTTTGGTACAAGTATATGGGATTTCTAAAGAACAGGGATCAGAGAAGCATTACCATAGTGTTGACATATACATTCTGTAATGGCATGGAAGAATTTGCCCCATAAAATGGAAAGAATGACAAAATATTCTCTTGTCCTAACACTTTTGCACAGTACTGTAATTGGTATAATAAACTATAATTTTGTAATAAATGAAAAAAAACAAAAATTGTCAAGTTTTAAATGCCTTTTGCTGTACCACCTTCATCTACTGGTTGTCAAACTAGAGTTCTGTTTTGTAACACATTCAGGGCTACATGTTTTTTACCATTCAGATTGTGTGTGTGTGTTTTTTTTCATGATACCACCAAAATTATTCACACTACATGCTGTCTAAAATATGTTATTTCAAGTAAATAACAGCCTACTATACAGTTAGACACAAAACTGAAATCACAGCAGTGTTTTAAATAAGACTTAAGACTCTGTTGTCTAGTGGAAAACTTTTGGGTCAATTATGGTTGACTACTAAAAGTTATTAATAATTTTGTTCATGAAATGCCATGTACGGTACAATTAAATATTAGGGTTTAACCCTTTCGAGACTGGTCACGGGTGAAAGGCCATGACATCTCCTTTATTGACTTACATTTAAAATTTTATTGAACTACTATTTCATGAATTTATGTCAATAAGTTTGGTATCAAACTATAGATTATAATTATAATTTTAGTACTATACATTGCTCAATTTCTTAGTTTCAAAGTAAATATTAGAAAAACAGATAAACATTGATTTTTGTGTCATGTGGTATGTTGAATGCAGCACTGGTTCAAAGTAGATGTTTGTGAAGTCAAAATACTAAGTTTATAGTTTTGTGCGAATTAAAAACTCAAATTACTTATATTGACAAGCTAGAACATAAAATAAGAATGTATTATATTTTCTCTTTGCTAAGATATTGCTCATGTAATAAATCAAACACAGTAGCACTCCACCCACCTCTTTCCATTTTTGGAAATGCTCCCTTATATACACTTGCATCTATATATGACATGAATGACCAATCAGAAGCTCAGAATGTACCCCTAGTGGCTTTCTCAGCCATTTTACTGAGCTTGGAAGACATTTCTTTCTTTTGAACCAATATTTCAAGGAAGTAGGGTGCGTCTTTAGTCTGCTAGAAATTTCTTATTTTTTTTAGACTAAATTACATCTTAGTTACTAAGCTTGATAAATTATAATGGAATTCTACGGTATTGCTAGTAGTTTAAGATTTTTTAGTTATTCAAATGCATATATAAAACCTTAAAAAAAAATGATTTTCATATTCTCCATGTACAAAATTTTAAAAGGCTTAGCATCCTACATCAATCAGCAACTGAGTGCAATGGTTGTAACTAGAAGAGATAATTGTTTGCTTTACTTCTTTATTTACTGTTCTATGTTTTAAAAAAAAAGGTTTAAGAACTTATTTCAAAATAGCATTAATCTATATACATATATAGTGTATAATAATTGAAATGTGATTGTGTTTTGCAAAATACTAGTCTACTAAAACACAGCCAAGAAAAGTTACGTTGTACAGACCAAAGGTCAGTTTTATGTTATTTGATATTGTATCATTAGTGCACGTGCGCCTCGTCATTGTAAGTTCTGTATTATTAGCCAGGCACGGCTGAAAGGTCAATATAATAAAAATAATAAATATATATAAATGTATAATGTTATGAGATTTAAGCTATTTCATATAAACATTTGTTTTTTGTGTTATAATTTGTGTTCATTCTAGAATGAAAGAGGCATAGTTTATATTTATTTCCTAATTTTTTTATGGTAATTATGAGATCAGTCAAATCTACGAAACCCATACAGAGATTAATTACTGAAAATAACAGATAAAATATAAAGTTTTTCCTTAAGAAATGTTTTTTGATAACTACCTGAACATTATAAAGATTTTGGAATTGAAATTTCAAAATCTTCTGATGCATAAAAGTATTTTTAATCTTAAAATGAAAATTACTTTGCATGATAGATAGGCAACATTTGAAAAGAAAAAAAAGGCATGAGAAAAACATTGCTTTACAAACCTTAAAACTTTATAACCAGTTATACAATGTAACTTGAACCAAAAAATTATCTCCAAACATGAGACCTAGGAGGTGGGTTTAATAGTAGTTTGAAACAGCATCAAACTGCTGTGAAGCTGTACAGAGATGTAATTTTAGTTTTTTTGGCAATTAAATAGAATAAATGGACTTCTTAAAGGAAAAAAACCTAATTATTTTGTATTCAATAATGTTTTGTTCCACTAGTCAGCTAACCACTATTGTGGTTTGAAACATCCCAGCACAAGCAGTACCAAAAAGTACACATTTATGAAATGCACTGGATTGTCACAGCAGTTTAGGTTAAATCAGAGGCTAGTAGCACAAAACTAAACAGTATTTGCCGATTTTTATTTCAAGTATAACGTTTGTTTCTGTACATCTTTGGAATTTCAGTCACCATGAAACATTTTTAACTTGGTAACCCAAACTTGGTGTTCATCTACATTAATATATTCCTGAATCCATTCTTTCAAATGATGTAGATAGGCAGCTGTTTCATGTAAAAGAATTCAGCACTTTATGGTTAAATTCTTTTTCTTTCATTGATTTGAAGACACATTTCTCTTTCTTTTCTGATACATTTTGGGGATTTTGTTCCTTGGAGCTTGCACTGCTGCTTCTTTGTTATGATTTAACAACTGTACAATAATTTTAAACTCTGTTGGTTTAAATATCTGATCATTTTTAAAAATATTGAATTCTGATAATTAGTTCTTGCTTTTTATTTAAGACATACTTCTGTTTTAAATCCTGCTTCATTAAAGGTATAGTCATTGCCCCCATACTTTTACATATATTTATTTGTTACCTCTTTTCTATTAAATGTTATAAGAAAAGTACATTTTTAGAAAAAAACGTTTTTTGTTTGGTTGAACTACACAAGTATGTGTTGGTGCAGTGATGGCTAGGATCAAAATTGTTTTATTCATACTAGTGACAGAGGGAGAAGTCTGTGTGCCTGCCAGCAATTGAAACATTCTCTAGAGTCTTTAAATGAAACACTCATTTTAAGCCCATATAACTGGTACTTGGAGACTGTTCTTGCAGTTCATAATGAAGGTGTTTACTCATAATACCAAAGTATGGTAATTTGGACAAAGAACCACTTTTGCAAATAGTTAAACTTTGTTAAAATAAAATATAATGTAGTTGAATTTGCTTTTGTACTAATACAGAGCTAATTTGATATTTATGATTTATCACCCGGTCCAAATGTACATGTAGAAGTAACTGAAAAGTTTATGTAAAAAAAACTGCTACATAGCAATATAAAAAAAAAAAATGTATATAAACTGTTCAAAATTCTATTACAGTTGTACTTGGAAAATAAATTTATATTTAAGACTAATCCAAATAAATTGGTAGTTAATCATCCTTAATTTTTAAAAATAATGAAATAATTCAGATCTCGAATTCCACATTTGAGGATTTCGGTGATGTCCTTTGGTTGTGAAAGGGTTAAATAAGTTATCTTTTGGGACAGCAATTTCAAATAGGGGTGGATGGTGATGATCAATTGCTAAGTTACTTTAGTCAACCTAACATGTGTACTCAGTAGGTGAGAGATAATAATGATTAGTCATGTCATACAGTATGTTTTGCTTCTGTTTATTAA